ATTTGTTAGGATGACTTCTTTAAAATTTCCAACTTATGTCATGCGTCTAAAAGTGTCTTTAGAGTTTGAAGATTAATCCTACCTGAATTTCACACAAAAGTGAAGGCGTTATTGTTATTATTTGAGCGATACCTAATTCAGTGTTTTGTTGACATCAGAAACTGTAAATAGCCTATGGAAGTTTCAGTATTTTTGTGAAAATTTTGGTTATTGTTAACTTGTGCTTACTACTTTTAGCTCAGTTGTATCGAAAATCATATAGCAATTTTTTGGAGTACCTTACGAAGCGACTACAAAATAAATGTTATCATACTCTACAGGTTCTTACTCAGTATAGTAGGTCGCAGAATATGTGGTAGGCAAGAATACTATTTGTACTGTTTATGAAGGCAAATCTTCTACCTTGCTTGTTGAAGCTGGTGTCCCTCAAGAGGTTGTTCTCTCTCTCCTTTTCTTTTCTCTTTCTTCCTACACGACTTGCCTCGTTCAGATGAAATCAACTTCGTTAAATATGCTGATAATCTGATTGTCCTTCTGCCAGTTAATGCCTGATCTAACTGTCCCATACTAAATAGCTCCTTGTCGGACATAAGCCAGTGGTCTGAGTTATATGGTCTTACCCTAAATCCTTATAAATGTCAGACAGTTAACGTGATCTATACGAACTAGTCCATTCACATGGTGCTTGTAGCGTAGAGGGCACTGAAATGCAAACTAAGTCAAGCATTAAGTATCTTGGAATGGTTCATTCCTCTTTCCCATATACTGTTGATTTCAAAGAAAATGTTCTGTGTAACCGTCTACGTTCAAAAATTAAGATAATCAGGAATCATTGAACCTCTGCTTTCACAGTTTGTTAACTTTTGCATCCTTCCTATTTGTTTTTTATTGCTCCCTCATAGTTTTTCCTGGTCTACTCGAAAAGGACTATGTCATATTGGAAAGGGTATTAAAGGTTGTCGTTTGAGCAAGTGATGTGTCACTAAGTTAGCTGGTTACCACTGTAGTTGACAGACATCTGAACTCATTTGAGAAATGAGCTAAAGCCGAATTCAAGTGTTGGTTAACAGGGGTTTGATTTGATTGGTTACAGGAGTTCATCACGAGCTCTCCTTGTAACCGGAAGGCCTGGGTTTGAACCCTGGTGGGTGCCCACTGCCAGTGAGTCCCAAACAAGGACAAAACAGCTGTCCAGTGCTCCTAGATGGCTTTTCAATGGTTCTTCAACCGATATCAGCTCATGATGAAATCCTGTAACTAATAGAGCCATATTGTCGGACTCTCAGTAGTCAATTCATTCTCAAATCTCCCTTTGCATCTCGTCAAGTACGCCTAGAAGTCATTGTGAAAGACTATATGCTCGCTGAGCTAGGTACAAAACTCAACGAAACCCTTTTTGGCCTGTGTTGTTTGTGGTGGAGAAAGTGTTAGGCATCAAACTTATAATTTATTATGTAATTAGCAAAAATAAATAGCTCTTTGACTTTCTCTTACTTGTAATTTATCGTGATACTATCTTTATTATTTTATAAATATAGTTATGATTAACTCCATTATGGATAAGATTTTATTCTGATAAATCACACAGTGTTATGCAGTAATATTATTTTTTTTGTGTTCTTTGGATCGTGGCAACTCGAACTGTGCACTTCGGTGCCAGGTTCTATGTTGAATCCAGCCAGCCAACTGATGACTACGTTTAGAGCACAAACTATTACTTCTCATAATCATATCAAGTTACTCACACAACTTTTTTCTTTCATTTATAAATGAAGGAAGATATATTTATATATCTTTAAATATTCCCATTATTAATATTAGAACAAGACATATAAGCGAACAATTTTGTTTTCAATTAGATCTTCTTCAGGCTTTACTCTAATGTACATAAATTTATATATGAAAATTTTAACCATTGATGGTAATTTTGTGGATCAAATAATAATGAATAATAATAATAATGTGTTAAATGTTTGCACGTCAGTAATAACCATGATTATAATGATAGCAAAAGTAATGATAATGAGGTTTATGCAGGTGGCGATAAGAATAATGAAGGTAGTAATATGTATGTATATATGTAGACAATTCAATGAATAAATTAGGTCAAATCTTAAAAGTTACGTAGTGCTAAAAGGGATGTGGCTGGTGAAGGCCTACATCTAAGATTATCGAGAGCAATAAAACGGACCTATACTGCCGCCACCCTTTATTTCTCATTTTCCAGCCGACCAAATATTATTGCTCAAGCGAAAGGCAAGCTGTCTAGCTGTGCCACTTCTATGTGTATCTGCAAACCTAGTTGCTCCTACGGAGAAAGCCAAATAAAATCTATAAGAATTTCTATTTTGACTCATTTGATTGATGATAGAGGTCACCAAATGGACAGAAGTAGTGCCTTCAAAGTTATCTATCGCATTCCATCGAGCCTTTCGAACGGAATTCGAACCCGCCTTTTACACATAGCCGAAGCTATGGGAATTCGAAAGAACAATCCTAGTCTGTGCATACAAAAGAAGTTTGTTCTACCTTTTCCTCTCCTTTGGCCTAAGTGAGGTCTAAATAAAACCCTCCCGCCCTTTCTTATTTTCCATTTCCTTCGTATTTTTATGATATTTATTTAAACTCTCTTCATCTGTCCACTTCACCTTTGTTTAGTATGACGTAACCCTTAATATTTAACCTAATTTATTTATTTATTGAATTGTCTACTTATACACATGCATATTACTACCTTTGTTATTCTTATCGCCACCTGTATAAACCTTATTATCATTACTTTTGTTATCATTAAAATCATCGTTATTATTTTCATTTGATTTACAAACTCAATAGCATTGTTTAGAATTTTTTATGTATAAAAATCTTGGTAAATTAGAGTGAAGCCTGTAGATCTAACTGACAATATTGTTCGCTTATATGTCTTGTTCTAATATATGTAGCTGTAGAAAAAGTTATCCAAAAGAACATTCTTTGTTTAATCTTCTTGTTTTTTGGGGATCTGTATGTTCAAATAGGAATTTCCGCTACTTTGGTGTAATTCAACCAGCGGGAACACAAAAGAAATAGATGTACTCTAGTGGACTAATCATCAGTGTGTTATTTATTACCAAGAGTTAGTTTGTAGGAATTTTGATGTGTTTTTCAAGTCTGACCACGAATTGATATCAGTTAGGAAGTGGTGAGAGCTGGCTGCAAGCCGAAATTATACCCAACAATTTACGTCAATGTTCACGTCCCGAATCAGAGTCGTGAGAAAAACAATAACAAAGCTTAACCTCGAGAAAATCTCCAGCAAATCAAAGCGGTGTTAACGTGTGCACATATGATTCGCAGATATATGGCTTGATTTTCTGAGAAACGGCCACAAAGAGATAACAGAATAACCATCAGCAAGAAAACAACCAATCAGAAGACGTTGATTCTCCGCTAATAATAATATACATAAAAATCTATAAATACCTCTTGATTTTCTCAATAAATGAGCTGTTGCTTAGCCCTTGTATTCTGTCGTTACAAGAGAACCATTGAACACCATCAAGGAGTCCTAGTTCGGGACTCATCAGTAGTACACACCCACACCGCCAAGATTCAAACCCAGGACCCTCCGGTTACAAGGCCAACTTGTAGACCATTCAGGCATTTATAATTTCTAGATTTTTATTTTATTTGAGTGAAAAATAAATTCAAATTTTTTTTAAAAAAAGAGAAGGCATAAGATTAATTTCCAGTAGTTTATTGTTTGATTTCTTTATCACGTTCATTAACTTTTCTTCAACTTAATTTAATATTCTTTATCTTTCGTAAAAAATTATATTTGTATAGTCTCAGCGAGATTAAAATGAGTAATTCCAACGTTTCGTTCGGCAATCTGGTCCGAACTTCTTCAGGGAAATTAATCGAAATTAACATAACATAGGTTTATATATAAAAAGGAACATCACTTGTTTTTAAAAACGTTGTCCAATCATGAGTCATGCAACAAGTATCAACAAGTATAATAAACAAAATTTTATGAGCTGTGATCAAAATTTGACCTCGGACTTACAAATATTGGTCTACCTTTGTTAAACGCTTTAAACAGAGTGTGTATGTGTGCATGGGTAAACAGTTGTAAAACATTTCTTAACGTTTCCATTAGAAGATATGGACAGTCGAGAATTTTGACCAAGTATTAATAATTAGTGGTACATATCCATTTTTTATTTATTAATAAGGATTTCCTATGCATCAGCTAACATCACGCCTTCATGTCCGTTCAAACTGTTAGTATCTAGAATTTTATGATTAGACGTATTTTCAAAATTATGGTGTTTAGGATTAGAGTTCATTAGAAGCACCCTGTCGGACTTATTGCTTTTTCTTCTTTCTGAAGAGTGAGCTGCTTTATTCGACCTACTGGAGTTGTCAGGTGACTCGACAGCTACGGATTTAGGATATGCATTCTGTTGCAGACAACGGAGAGTGAAAACACGATGATTGTGCCAGTTACACAGTTTCTTTTTTATATATAAACCTATGTTATGTTAATTTCGATTAATTTCCCTGAAGAAGTTCGGACCAGATTGCCGAACGAAACGTTGGAATTACTCATTTCAATCTCTCTGAGACTTTACAAATATAATTTTTTACAAATGTCTACTTCTCACTAGGCGCCCAAATATTTTAGAACTATTCTGTCAAATCTTGACGACAGTTCATTTGAATTCTTTATCTTTCTTTTAACTTTTTTCTAGGAGATCATTTGTATCCAACTGTCAAACTGTTTTGTGTATTTCAATAACAAAAAAGCTTATCAAATCAAGGAGCACTGCGCCCGGTTTTCCCTATTCGTGTTTTGAACAACTCTTCAGCACTTCGCCTATCTACAACCCCAATAAGGAGGTCGAACTCAAGACCTACAGGTGACAAAGCCAGCTAGTTGTTCATTATTCAACCATTTAGACTGACTTTGTCGACAAAAAGAAACAACATCTCATTCATTCGACATTTTCATCAAAATGATTCTCAAGGATCATTTCAATTCTCCATCTGAGGTAGCGAAGAAGCACAATCACTTATACCTCTTTAATCTTAGAATTCTAGTGCTAAATCTATGCATGAATTAACAGAAAATATAAAATTGCTAAAAAGTGATAAATTAAAACAATTTGCAGTTGTAGAAGAGAAACGTTCCAAATTGTATAAATCATTAATAGCAAAAGTTAATTCAAATTGTATTGATGAAGTAAATTACTTTAAAGGTGTTATTTTAAAAAAATAATATTTTATTGTTTTTAAGAAACTTTTTTCTGCTTTACCCTGTGAAGTATATCCTCCTCCTCCAAGTTCGGTGAATAAAACCCCAACTTCTGCTCATCGAATAAATGCACAACGTAAGTTATCGAATTTATGCATAAAGTTGCTTCTTTTTTGTTTTGTTAATTCTTATTTAGAAAATGTTTCTATTGGTAGCAATACAACAGTGACTAATGTAAGTTTACTTTATGAAACTTGTAAAATTCTATTGTTCATATTGTATTTTTGTTTAAATTAAGGTGTTTCGAATATGGCGGGAATTTTGTTTTCACATATAGTAAAAGAAAGAAAATTCTAAACAATAGTAATAATAATAGTAAAGCTTTATTTCACACAATATGCGGATATATATTACAGAAATTTCTAGCATATTTAAGTTCTTTTTCATACGGGCTTTACATGGGCAAAGTTAAACTTCAAGCACCACTTACTACCAATCACAGAGAATGACCTTAAACGCACCAATCACGTGAAGGAGGCATTTTCGTGTATGAAATACATATATTTATGAAAAAAAATGCATAAAAACTGTAGAAAAGTGTTGCAGAGGATACCTTCCTCTCACATGTGATAAAAATAGCTCTCAGTTTTAAGTTGGAGCATCAACAGAGTATAATTCCATTGTGGGTTAAATTTATTTCGATAAAGTCTCAGTGTAATACAGTATTATTTACTGGGCAATAAATTGTGCTCGAAACGTGGTCATCAGTAAATATTACTGTATAACATTGTGAAACTTTATCAAAATAAATTTTACCCATAATGGAATTATACTCTACCACAGTGCGCAAGTTCTATTCTTATATCAACAGAGTAATTTAACCACATTCTATGCATGTAATTATTTAGGTCTTCTAAGCCTAATCATTCCGGAAACTAACCCTAACGTGAAAATATCCTTAAACTAACTGTAATCTAACTCGAACCAACCCTAATGTGTCGCCTTTATTAGGTTAACCTAACCCTAACTTGTCCTTGGCTTAAAGCGTAACTTAATCTTTCCCAAACACCTAAGCTGAAACTTGTCAGATATCTCATTGAATAGCATAACACTTCGATGAGCATATTTTATTGATGATGACAACATTATCTGCCAGGTTTCACTAACTTGCTCAGTGAGCGTTTCAAGGTCATTGGTGCGGTCGCACTCCTTTGGTAGTTAGTGGTGCTTAAGGTTGAACTTGGCCCTTACATGTAAAGCAATAATCTGAAGTACATCATTTGTTGTAGTGTTGTTGCATATGAAGTGACAACCAATTCTGTACATTTTTTCTTCAATTCCTTCAAGAATTGCATAGTATTTAGTGAGTAACTAATTAAATATGCGCGCTAGTTTATGTAGTGGTCATTTAATATAATTGCATGATTAAAACAATAAGAAATACAGAAGAGTTTAAGCATTTTGATGGATGGAAATTCCGGTTGCTCAGTGATCTAAACAGGTTGCCTAGTAGTTATATTTTTATTATAGAATAATTTTATTTGATTAAAACAGTAATATAGGCTTATGTACTGATGACGATTCCTTTATTTGACTTGTACTCTAACTTGGTATGTAATCCATATTCATTTGGCTTTCGTCTTCGTTTTATTCCTTCCATTCAAACTGCTAAATTTAAAGTATACTTTTGAACCCAGGACATTCTGGTTACAAGGCAAGCTTGTACTGATGATGAGCCCCAAACTAGAGCGAAACATCCGTCCAGTACTCTGGTGTTGGTTTTTCAGTGGTTCTCTAGCTGATATCAACCTGTGGTCTAACCTGAAACAAATAGAATCCCTACAAACTAATTCTTGACAATTAATCTGATGCTCGCTAGTGACTGGCTACAGAACGAAGTTGCCTGGAGGTCTAGCGAGAAGTAGTGACCAATGGGGGCCATCCAGTCGGGAGTGATGATGGAGTTCCCGTCGATGACATTGTTTGGTGCGAGTCGCGCTAAAATCGCTAATTCGCAGAAGTTAGAATTCATGGGCTGGCCATTGAGGAGTCGGGTCCCAGTGGCTGAATGGTATATGAGCTTGCCTTGTAACTAGAAGGTCCTGGGGCTGAACCCCACGGTGTGGGTGTTCACTGTCGATGAGTTCAAAACTAGGAGAACGGGGACAGATGACTGTTCAGTACTTCCTTCTGATCTTCAATATTTCTCTAACTGATATCAATCCGTGGTGTAACCTGAAAGAGCGATACTCACCACTTGTTGTTTTTAGATTACGTAATTTATCATTTTGCTTGATATGTAAATTCATATGTTTTATGTTACCACGATCTGATAAGAACAATTAACTGTATAGGCAATTCCCGGATCTTTTACAACACTCATTATATATGACTGTGCTGCTTTGAAGTGAAGTTATGAAAAGAAAATATTCTTTTCCCTGACCAAAATATTTTTTTTTGCCTGATATCCACATTCAGTTAATTGTGAAATCCCTAGAAAATCCCTCATTATCTAAACGTAATGATACCCTGTAAATACACACAGTTATTGTTATTCATCGTAAATTCTAAATTTTAACTTTTTATTGCATACTAAAGGATGCGAAATGCTCAAAATGAGTCGATCGGAAAAAACATTTTCGAACTGCTGAAATTACTTTTGTTTTATTACTTTACAACGCTAGAATATTATGCTCTTGTAAAGGGTTCACCACTTCGCTCTGTCCTTCTTTATGACTGCGAGTAAGACATGGCCATTGAAAGTGGGAGACTGGCTAACTGTCTTTGATCATAGGTGTCTGCGTTCTATAATAATAGGATGAGCAATATTGAGGTTAGGCATTAGTCGAGTGGTAGGTAAGGAGGGGGGGTACCAATCGACGAGTCGGTTGTGAAGTTACATCGATTGAGATGGTTAAGACATGTGCAACTCATACCACTGAGCCATCGATCGCCTTCCTCGATCAATGGACAATGTTAGCTGACTGACATAGGATGGATGAGGTTGGAAAAGAGCTAGCTAGTGGTGGTCAAACCAAAACATGGCTTCATCAATCAATGAAATCCACAACAATTAATTTAGGCCATGTAGGAAGGTGTTGACTGCTGTCTGGTAGGGGTCCTAGGGATGATAAAACCAATGATGATGGCTGGAGACAATTGGTGATATGGCTCAAAATCGTTCTCAATGGTTGGCGCAGATGCATTCACTCTTTGTGATTTATAATATCCAATAAAATTCTATTGTTCTTCCATATTACTATTCTTTTTGCCTCATATCTCTATTTTGAATCTCTCTTTAATCTCTCCTCTTGCTTTGTGTGCTACATGGAGAGAGTGTAGCAAGTGACAATGCAGCACATTTGTGCAAAGTTCTCTGATGATACCAGTTAATTAGCCCTTTTAAAGTCTGTGGCTACGTGTTTTTTCCTAGCTGAATTATCTGTATGAATTAGAAATTCCTATCCATTATTTCATTGTTATATATCCTAAAATATCAGAGAGGATTTGTAGCTCAGGTGGATTTGATTTGGTTGTATTCTCTGAGCGAGTAGGTTGATTTAATTGCGAAACTGTCGTTATCCTTCGAGAAAGTCAACATATTCTGCACAAACTTCAGTATGAAGTGAACTTATTTGAATTCTCCACGAATAATGACAACCTTTAGTGAAACTGCTTCTAAATTCTTCATTTTTATTGATTTGGAATTTGAACATTCTTGTCATGTGATTTATTCTGTTTTATTTGGTGAATTTGATGTATAATAACGTTCAAGAGTTAGTTTGTAAGGATTAGATTTGTTTATACGAGTTTGAACACGGATTGATATCAGTTAGAGAAACATTGAAAACCAGCGCCAGAGTACTGGACAGCTGTTTCATCCTAGTTTGTGAATTATCGGCAGTACGCATCCACTGGGGTTTCACCAGTGAGAGGTCCAACCAGTCAAGTGTGAGGATGGATTTCCCACCGATGACATTGGTTGGTGTCAGTCGTGCTAAATCACGAATTGGTAGAAGTTACAATTCATAGGCTGGCTATTGAATCGGGTGGGTCTTAGAGGCTGAATGGTATACGAGCTAGCTTGCCTTGTAACCGAAAGGTCTTGGGTTCGAACCCTGGCGGTGTGTGTGTACTTCCGATGATTCCCAAACTAGGTGGGGGAAACAGATGTCCAGTACTCTGGTGCTAGTTTTCAATGTTTCTCTAACTGATATCAATCCGTGGTCAAACTCGGATAATAATTTGTTTGGTAATCGCTTATTCTTCTGGACACCAGGTTTCTAGAAATATCCTGACGTTTTCTTAGTTTCCTCTGTTTGAAATCTCTACATTATCTCAATTGAATTGGTGTCTGTGATTGTCTACATGCATCTATATGAAAGGATATGTATAGTTTATTTTCACAGCTAATTTATGTTTTTGGATTGTGATTCGAAGAGGACGCCTACTTGACGATGTATTGTTATCGATTATGCGATTTATTTTTCTAAATGGTATTGATGTTATTTTCTTTTGCTGTTAGATCCTTTGATCTGCACACTATTGAATGAAGTGATTGTGTTGGCTTGTGTGCTATTGTCTATTTCAAATAGCTTTAGTATTCTAGCCGTTATTATTTCAGAGATATTCTTTATTATACATATGGTAGAATGAATTTTCTTGTAGTCTTTGATGATGATGGTTTCTTGTTGGTATTTCGATTTGAGTTTAATCATTTTTTGATGAAATTGTATGAGTATTCGTCATTCTTCTTGAAGATAGTTAGTAGGTTTCGGGAGGGTGAAATTAAGAGGTTAAAAGTCATCAAAACAATTGACTAACTAATAGATTGCATGGAGGATTTCATCATGAGCTGACCACAGTTAGACAACCACTGGAAAACCTGGGAGTACTGGACAGCTGTTCCTTCCTAGTTTGGGATTCTTCATCAGTACGCACCCATCGGGGTTCAAACAAAGGACCTTCTGGTTACAAGGTGAGCTCGTAGACCATTGAGCCACTGGGACCCGATCCAATGGTCCTTCAATTCTAACTTCTGCCAATTCACGACCTAGCGCGACCAATTCGCAGTGTCTTCTTCAATGAGTTACTGCCTCACCTACAACCTGCTGCACTCTACTGGTCACGGCTTCCAACTAGAACCCCAGGTGGCTGCATACTGATGAAGAGTTCCAAACTAGGATGAAACAGCTGTCCAGTACTCCCGGGTTTTCCAGTGGTTCTCTAATTGA